AGTTTGCAGGAAGAGCCTAACCTCCAGGGGTTCTCTAAGCATGAGTTCTTGGGGGAGTGTTTTTTACTCTGCTCCCTTGCCCCCACCCCTAGCCAACTCCTTTGCCTTGGAGGATTAAGTAGAATTATTTTTTAAAAAAGCTTTATTTTATTTATTTGAAAGGCAGAGTTACAGGGAAGGGCAACACATACACACACAAGACAGAGAGCGAGAGCGAGAGAAAGGGGGAGAGAGAGAGAGAGAGAGAGAGAGAGAGGTCTTCCATCTGCTGGTTCATTCCCCAAATGGCCACAAAACTTGGGCTGGGCCAGCCTGAAACCAGGAGTCAGGAGCTTCTTCCGGGTCTCCCATGTGGGTGCAGGAGCCCAAGGACTTGGGCCATCTTCCACTGCTTTTCCAGGTGCATTAGCAGGGAGATGGATTGGAAGCAGAGCAGCAGGGACTCAAAGTGGTGCCCATATGGGATGCCAGTGCTACAGGTGGTGGCCTAACCTGCTATACCACAGCACTGATCCCAAGTTATGTTTTGAGTTAGGGACTGATGTACATATTCTTTAGCTCCTCAAAGACTTGGGTTTCTCTGTGATTAAGTCTCATCTTGGGAAAAATCAACTTGATCAGAAGTGCAGTTCATCCTTTTTTTTTTATTTGATAGGTACAGATATATATATATATATATATATATATAGAGAGAGAGAGAGAGAGAGAGAGAGAGAGAGAGAGAGAGGTCTTCCTTCCATTGGTTCACTCCCCAAATGGCTGCAATGGCCAGAGCTGTGCCGATCCAAAGCCAGGAGCCAGGTGGTTCTTCCTGGTCTCGCATGAGGGTGCAGGGGCCCAAGCATTTGGGCCATCCTCTACTGCTTTCCCAGGCCACAGCAGAGAGCTGGAATGGAAGAGGAGCAGCCAGGACACGAACCGGCACCCATATGGGCTGCCGGCACTGCAGGCAGAGGATTAACCTAGTGTGCCATGGCCCTGGCCCCTGCTTGCTTTATTTTTAAAAAATATTTATTTTTCATTGAAAGGCAGAGAGGGAGAGAGAGAAAGAGAGAGAGAGAGAGAGAGAGAGAGAGAGAGAGAGAGAGAGTTTTTCCATCTGCTGGTTCACTTCACAGTTGGCTACAATGGCTGGAGCTGCGCTGATCTGAAACCAGGAGCCAGGAACTTCTTCTGGGTCTCCCACGTGGGTGCAGGGGTCCAAGGAGTTGGGCCATCTTCTACTGCTTTCCCAGGCCATAGCAGAGAGCTGGATCAGAAGTGGAGTAGCCGGGTCTTGAACCGGTGTCCACATGGGATGTCAGCACTGCAGGTGGTGGCTTAACCTGCTACACCACAGTGCTGGCCCCCAAAAAGATATCTTATACCCTGGGCCATTATTTCTCAGTTCTTAGCAACTGTGAATCTACTTTCTGTCACTATAGATTTATCTATTCTGGATGCTTCACATCAAATGGATTCCTACGCTCTGTGGTCCTATGTGAGTGCCTCTTTTCACTTAGTGTAATGTTTTCATGATTTATCGATGTTATAGCATGTGTCAGTACTTTATTCTTTTTCATTGCTGCATCATAGCATTCCATTGTTTATTCACTCATCAGGGGATGGGCATTTGTGTCTTCCACTTTTGACTTATGAATAATGCTGCTACGAACATTTATGTATTTATTTTTAAGTGAAACTATACTTTCATTTTTCTTACATATTCCTGGGAGTGGAATTGCTGGGTCATTTAACCAGATAAGGAACTGCCAGGCTGTTTTCCCAAGTGACTGCACCATTTCACATTCCCACAGTGTTAGGTGAAGGTTTTTCTATACTCTCACCAATACTTGTTATCATCTGCCTTTTCTGCTACAGCCATCCTGAGAAGTGTGGCGTGGCGTCTCAAAAGACAGTTTTGACTTGTCTTTCTCTAGTACTAGTGATGATTAGCATCTTTTCATGCGATCATGGCGTCTCTAAAACATCAAGTATAGTCTGAATGTAGCATTAAAGAAGAAAACCTCTTACATCTTTTCTTATCTGGAATGAAAAGTCAAGCTACATTCTCTGAGAGACTCTCAAATGGCAGAGAGAGAGAGAGAGAGAGAGAGAGAGAACCGTAAGCTCTTAGCTTTCCTTTTGCCTGGCATTTAGCACGACTCACTTCTTCTCATTTTTTAGGTGTTAGCTCAGATGTCACTTCCCTCACCTACCTATAAGGTCTGTTCAGATCTGGCTAAAGGAGCTCCTCTACCCTTCTTCTGCCTCTGTGACCTCACTGCATGATGCTCTTGCAAATCTAAAATTATCTCACACATTAAAAAAATCCGTGTTTGCTGCCTGACTTTTTCATTAGAGTGTAAGCTTTGTAAACTGAGCTGTGATTTGTTAATCATTGCATGTTCACCTACAACAGTTCCTGGCATACAGCAGGCACTCAAAAATCATTTGTCAAATGAATAAATAAGTCTTTAGTTAAACATTATTTGGGAAAATATGGAAGGCGTTTTTTCACTGTGGCTGAATCATATTAACTTTCTATACATCTCAAGAAGGAAAAAGGGTTTAAATGTCATTTAAAAAGGAGCAGTGGGTGAGGACTAAACAGAACGTGTGTTTTTGCTTCCTGAGCGCCAATCTCCTCATCTGTAAAGTGGACATAGTAACGTTTACCTCCTTGGGGTGAAGTCAGACTTAAAGGAGGCACAATGTAACTCAACGTCCTCATTGTAGGGTAAGACTCAGTATGTGGTGACTATTAATGTTGGAAAAGCTGTTTTGCACTGAATCAGGTCCTTAGTCACAAGTCAGAACAACATGAGACTTGGAACATTTTGTATCTTGAAGACACCAGCTGTGCTGTCACGTTTGTTCATTTGCATCCTGACCTTGGCCGCTCAGGGCACGTGGGTACATATTGTTTGTTAGTTTCCTTTTTCTTTTCCTTTCATTTTTTTTAATCTTTACATATCCTACACATTCTTACTGATAAAACTTGGGTAGTTTTAAACCATAGTGTCTGCAATGACCGTTACACACATGATACTCTCTAAAAGATAACAAAATAAAAAGTAAAATGAACTTTAGCATTTTAGAGAAAGCACTGGACCAGAAGGCAGGGAAAGTATCTTGAATACCTCATATAAACAAGCCAGACTGCTGGTCAAAATGACCCTGTGTGAGTCCTGTGATCATTTCTGATGTTCTTTCTGGATTCTTTGTAAATGGTATTTGTGCTTTGAGGAGTTGTCTGGTGTCCACACTTGGCCAATATCATGGGGCTTCAAAAATTTGTGGAAAATTGAAATTGAAAGCTAATGTATACTTTCATGAACTTTTGAAACTTCCTCAAACTATTAAAATAAATGAAAATACTAAAATGTAAATGAAATAGCTTAATCTGAAATCAAGAGGAAATGATAGGGAAAAATTCATCTACTGAAGAGAGAAGAAAGTGCAGTGGGAAGATTCTGTATGTCGTGGGCAGCATCTCCATGCGAGGGTCATCATCTTAGTTAACATGCAAGGACAATCCTCTCTTTTCCTCTGGAGGGGAGTGAAGAGGCCAGGAATGCAACTCTTAGCCGAGATCTGGATTTGGGATGCAGCATCTGATGTATTTCTTCCTAGGAATTTCACTTAATTTATATTTTTGTCCTAGCCTCCTATTTACACACACCTTGAACACACCAAGAAAGCTTCAAGAAGTTCATGCAAGAACTCTGCGAATTAATTCACGCAAGGTGCTAGTTCCCATGCCTGGCGTCCTAATAATAGCTCTGAAAGTGTTGGCTGTCTCTCCACCGTAGCCAGACCCTGCAGCTGGCCCTCTGGGCTTCTGTTCCTCAAACTTACCTTGAACACTGACTTTGGAAGTTGGAAGCACAAAGGACATCAGCTCTGCTCTCTCCTGCCTGGTTGACAGGAACCACATCTCTCTGCTTTTCTTTCCAGAGATAGGAATCCAGGCAGAATGTGGGAGAGAGAGTATTCATGGCTATAAAGTTTCTTTTGGGGATGGTGAAAATGTTCTAGAATTGGAAGTCGGCTGTTTGGATACCTTCTCCAAAAGTTTGTGAGAGTAAACTTTCTGGTATTGCTATAGAGGCTGGAAAAGGGATCAATGAAGCCAGGTCTCAAAGTGTATTTCTTGGACACAAATTCCCACAAAACACCTCTGTTGTGTCAGTTTAGGATATGCACAATCCCACACCTTCTTCTTCAAGGGTCATGGTGTACATTGTGTATTAAAGACACTGAGAAGTTAGGAAGGAGAGCAACTGGTCTAACTTTGCATAACCAAGAAGAGTTCCTGTCACTAGTTTTACTGTAAAGCCAGGTTTTTGCTACAGAGACTGTAACTGTTGCTCAGGAGTAGTGTTCTTTGTGAGACTGGGAAGGGCTGGCAGGTGACATTAGCACTGCCAGGAGGAAAGCTTTGAGAAAGGCCTCTATGGGAACACCTTGGCTACAGGCTCCTCCCGACTATGCCATGGAGCACAACTTTCCAAGTGAAATCCCGACAGCAGGTGCACAAATGAAAAGAGGCTCTAGGGGAACTGAGTCTTCAGATTTGGCCCCTGTTTTTTCAAGGCTCCCTCCCAGGGCACGCCACGGAAGGTCTTCTTACAGCGGGCAGGCTTCTAGACAAGATCATGATGTCTGCTAATATCCCCACTGCCCCTCAATGTATTAATGAAGCCATTAACTCAATATAGAGGAAAAGGTGATTTAACTCACAGTTTGGGAAGTTAAAATCCAAGATTGGGTGGTTCCCATTGGTTTGGCATCTGATGAAAATGGTGGAAGGGTTTTCTTAACAATCCCCTCATGAGAGTTAGCATCAAAGCCACGTCCCTAGTGACCTAATGATCTCCCACCAGGCCCACCTGCTAAAGGTTCCACTACCTCCCAATAGCACCATCCTGGGCACCAAGGCTTTAACCCACGGGTCACTGTAGGGACACCCAAAGTATATCCAAACCACAGCACTGAGTTTCTGCCTTTTCTTGCAGACGGATGTTCCCTGTCCTAAAGATCAGTGTCACGGGGTTGGACCCTAATGCCATGTACTCCCTCCTACTGGACTTTGTCCCCACGGACAGCCACCGCTGGAAGTACGTCAATGGCGAGTGGGTACCTGCAGGCAAACCAGAGGTCTCCAGCCAGAGCTGTGTCTACATCCATCCCGACTCCCCCAACTTTGGGGCCCACTGGATGAAAGCTCCTATCTCCTTCAGCAAAGTGAAGCTGACCAACAAGCTCAACGGAGGTGGGCAGGTACGTGCAGGTCACCCGGCCACTGGCCCTGGCCTCCCCATAACAACAATCAAGAAATATCAAGGGTGCATTTAGGCAATTAGAGGGGTCCTCACTAGCCTCTTCTCCCACAGAAACCAATTATTCCCTGGAGCCCAAATGTAAACAGGAATAAACAGCTCTTAATTGGTGCTTTCAGTTTTTAATGGACTTCCTGATGTTAAGAGAGTGAGAGTGCAGTAGTTTGCTTAATCATCGGGGGCTCTTTTCATAGTTTTGTCTTGTGTGCCCTGCTTTTTACCCAGGCCCGGGAGGGAGATGTTTGCAGTACCAGGGTTTTGTTATTCCCTCTCTCTCTCTCTCTCTCCTCTCTCTCTCTCTTTTTTTTTTTGGTGTAAGTGGTATGTTGGCAATAGACAAATACCTTAATAAAAAGCTGCTCCTAAATGAAATAATTACTACCTCCACTTGGGCATTATGATAATTATCAATAGAATATTGAATCAGCTTTAGTTTGTTAGGAAAAAAATAATCCAAACAAACCTTAAATACGGAAGGTTTTATTTAAGGTCTCCAATTAGAGTAAACAAGATTTCGGGGCTTTTTCCTCTCATTTTCTGTGAAGTAATCGTATTCATCCATGGGGTAAGGCTGGTTCATTACTGTACAAAATGTGGACTGATGTGGGGGATTGGAGATGTAGTTGGGAAGAGAAGGCCTTGATACTCTTCCCCAGGCCATGGACTTGGCTTTGCTCAGCCTCTTGCCCTCAGTTTTGTGGTCTGCTGTAATTTCTCTGTGCTCAGCTGGCACATGGCATTCATATATTAAGAGGTGGAGCCAGTGCCACCTGTGCCCTTATGATATTCGGAAAGTTCCACTTTTTTAAAAAGATTTATTTATTTTGTTGGAAATGCAGTTACAGAGAGGCTGAGGCAGGGGGAGAGAGAGAAAGAGAGAGAAAGTCTTCCTTCCACTGGTTCACTCCCTAGTTGGCTGCAATGACTGGAGCTGTGCCAATCCGAAACCGGGAACCAGGAGCTTCCTCTAGGTCTCCCATGTAGGTGTAGGGGCCCAAGGACGTGGGCCATCTTCTACTGCTTTCTTAGGCCATAGTAGAGAGCTGGATTGGAAGTGGAGCAGCTGGACTCAAACTGGTGCCCATATGGGATGCCGGCACTGTAGGCAGTGGCTTTATCCACTACACCACCACGCGGTCCCTCCACTTCTTTATTAAAACAAGAAATTGAAAAGCACGTTGTTATTGCCTACCAGACTTTACAACCGGAGACTTTCAAATAAACCTTTCATTTGAATCATGAAGGGTGGATTATATGTAGCCAGCAGATTTCCTTCCCTGCAGTCACTTGTTTTTTTTTTGGACAGGCAGAGTGGATAGTGAGAGAGAGAGAGAGAGAGAGAGAAAGGTCTTCCTTTTGCCGTTGGTTCACCCTCCAATGGCTGCCACGGCTGGCGCGCTGCAGCTGGCACACCGCGCTGATCCGAAGGCAGGAGCCAGGTGCTTCTCCTGGTCTCCCATAGGGTGCAGGGCCCAAGCACTTGGGCCATCCTCCACTGCACTCCCTGGCCACAGCAGAGAGCTGGACTCAAAGAGGGGCAACCAGGACAGAATCCGGCGCCCCGACTGGGACTAGAACCCGGTGTGCCGGCACCGCTAGGCGGAGGATTAGCCTATTGAGCCGCGGCGCCGGCCTTCCCTGCAGTCACTTGTAAAATGCAGCCATTGTCAGTATCTTGAGTTACTAGGAAAAACCCAATACGTTTCAATGAGCTGAAATCCACGTTGTTGCACTAAACATAAGGGAAGGAAAAAAAGGAAGCCAGGATTTTGGCAGAAAGCACAATGAGCTTAAGAACAACACTGAGCATCCCACCTCGCACTTCTGCATAAGCGTCAATGCAATCAATGCTCCTGTGTTTTCTGAGAAAGTTTTCTTGTTCCCATCCCCCATTCATTTCTCAGAGCCGTGGTGGTGGCTCAGGTCACTGAGGATTTGACTTTGTGTGTTTCTAACCAGGGTGGGTGTTGAGCTTGGGAGTGGCCGAAGGTTTTGGCTCATCTATTAACTGCAATGCCCAAGGCTTGGTTTGGTTTCTTTCTTTTTTTCTCCCATCTCAACAGATAATGCTGAATTCTCTGCATAAATATGAGCCCCAGGTTCACATAGTGCGGGTTGGAGGTGCCCACCGCATGGTGATGAACTGCTCCTTCCCTGAAACCCAGTTCATAGCTGTGACTGCCTACCAGAATGAAGAGGTAGGTATGTGTGTGTGTGTGTGAATGTCACTTGAGAGAGTGTGGCAGGCTAGGGCCAGGGCGGGGGGTCCCTTTGATTGCCATGACCGAGCCTGGATGATAGCGGAGCAGTTGGGCTACCAGGTAACTGCTCTCCAGTCCCTCTTGCCTGTTTGCTAACGGTGTACTCTAGGTCTTCTCCTGGTGCCAAGAAGACACAACTGTGCATTTCTATAAAACTCAGTTCTGTTGAGACTCAGGAGTCTTTGTTCTTGGGTCCTGGGTGCCCTTGGCTTGCGCAGAGCTGGATGTGTCTGGGATGGGTATGTTGGGCAAGGGTAGCCCGGGACTACTTTCTCCTGTTCTATAAGCAAATCAATGGGATTGATCCAAATGGGCACGCTTCTTGGGGTTTTATTATGTGATCTATCTCAGTTGTTCATTCTTAGCATTGCAGTGTGGCTGGGTCTTTTCCTGCCCAGTAACTCTGGCTGAGTGGTCAGTATACAGAATCTGGTCTCTCTGCGAGCTGCTCTGGGGTCCATCCCTGTCCTGGAGTGGTTCTTAGGCCTGCTGACCATCAGCAGCACCTGGGGAGGGTTGGGTTCTTTTTGATTAAAGTCTAAAAACATTTAAAAGTAATATGTGTTTGAAAAGCACATAATAAACTGATAGTACTTCTGAAGTTTGTAATGTAAAAATGAAAAAATAAAAGGCGAAGATGCACTATTTTTTGAAAGATTTATTTATTTATTTGAAAGGCAGAATAAGAGAGAGAGAGAGAGAATCTTCCATCTGCTGGTTCACTCTCCAAAATGGCCGAATTGGCCTGTGCTGGGCCAGGCTGAAGCCAGGAGTCAGGAGTTCCATCTAGAATTCCCACATGGATGGCAGGGGCACAAGTACTTGGGCCATCTTTGGCTGCTTTCCCAGGTACATTAACAGGGAGTTGGAGTGGAAGTGGAGCAGCCAGGATTCAAACATGTGCTCATATGGGATGCTGGCACTGCAGATGGCAGCAAACCTTCTGTGCCACAACAGTGACCCCCCAAATGTACTATTTTCCTTTTGCGTTTGAATACCACTTCCCATGTACACATAATATCCCAACATATCTTTTTTCTATTCATTTCCCATGCATATATAAACATATGAGGGGTCTTCAAAATGTTCATGGAAAATTTGAATCATCTTTTAATTCTATTTCCCACAAACTTTTAAAAGTACCTTCATATATACAAATGTGGATTTCCCCTTATACATTGGCTTTTATTCTATGTATTAACCTGAAAATTTCTTTTCTTCTCTCAGCTTGGCAGTATATTATGGATATTCTCTATATGATTGTATTCAGGCATATCTCCTTTTCTGTAATGTCTATGCAGTATTCACCTGCACAGATAATACTGTATTTCATGTAATCAGCCCCCTACTAATGGACATTGAATTGTTTCAAGTTGTTTATTTTTTATTGCAAATACTGCTGCCATGGATGTCCTGGTGCCTCTATCCCTGTTTGCTAGACATGGGGTTGTTCTGTCAGGGCAGTGGGTATTTGGGGTTTTGGTCGACATTGCCACATTGCCTCCTTCGAAAGGCTGTCAGGCCATCTCTGCTTAGAGCCCTCACCTCTTTATCAACAATGGCAATAGTCAACCTTTTGTGACAATCTGATTGTTTAAAACATGATAGCTCATTGCTTTCCTCTGCATTTCTTGATTGGGAAGCTTTTAAAGAGTTTTGGCTCCTTCCCAACCACATGAGCCTGAATCACCAAGAATGGTGCCTAGAATCTGTTGTTTTTAGGAATCTGGTGATCAGTCTCATTTGGAAACAATTCCCTGAGTGCTTCTGCGTGAAATTAGGTGCAGATTTAACCCCCAGCACTGTGGTCCTCTTTTCGAAGACTACTCTGGCCTCCTGGCTGGGCCCCTGCAGTAGGTCGTGGGAGCAGAAGTGGACCAGCAGTTGCTCAGTGGGTGCACAGCAGCCCTCCCTCTCTGCTTCTTGTCTCAGGAGAGAGTCTGAGAGCAGAAGGGGTGGCTTTTGCCCAGCGCCTCATCCTCCGGGCAGTGCCCTGTCCCACTCCTGTGCTCTTTGCTCTCTTAGTTGGTGGCCAGCACTTTCTCAGAAGGGTTTCCTGGCATCAGGTGCTAGACAGTTCTCTCTGACCCACTTGCCCAACCCTGGCAACCCATCCAGTAAGCTCCCCTGCCTGCTGTGTCTACCTGGGGGTCTTAAGCATGTTCCCATGGCAACCAAGCTGGCAACATCTAACCCAGAGACCCTCTGCAATGTTTCCTGAGGTGCTAGCTGGGTGGGGATACGTGGGAGGTTGACAACGCTCCTGTTAGCTTCATTTCTCAGCTTGATCACTCCAGGTTTAGCCAAGACCAGATTAAGATTTGTGTAATTGAGAGGCAGAGTTACAGACAGAGGGAGAGACAGAGAGAGAGAGAGAGGTCTTCCATCTGCTGGTTCACTCCCCAAATGGCTGCAACAGAGCTGGGCTGATATGAAGCCAGGAGCCAGGAGCCTTTTCCAGGCCTCTCATGTGGGTGCACTGCTTTCCCAGGCCATTAGCAGGAAGCTGGATCAGAAGTGGAGCAGCTGAGACTTGAACCAGTGCCCATATGGGATGCTGGTGCTTAGGTGGAGGCTTAACCTACTAAGCCGCCGTGCTGGCCCCTCCACCCTTATTTTTATTCCTGTTTATATCTCTGTCTTTGTCTCTACTTCCATCTCTATCAAAATCTCCATCTTTTTCTCAGTTGCTTGCTCTGTCTCTGTCTCCCTCTCCCTCTCTATCTTCCTTTCTATCTCTATCCAAATCTCCAGCCTTATTTCTGTCTCAGTTTCTAGCAGTCTCTATCTCTACCTCTATCTCTGTCTCTGTCTCTATGTCTTCATCTCCTCTATCAGCATCTTCAGCCTTCTCTCTATAGTTCAGCTTCAAGCTCTGTATCTGTCTCCAGCTCCAACTCTAGCTCTGTCAACATCTCCAGCAATATCTCTGTCTCGGTGTCTATCTCTGTTTCTATCCCATTCCCATCCCGTTCTCCTTCTTCTCCATCTCCCTCTTTATTTCCATCAAAATCTCCACTCTTATCGCTCAGTTTCCAGCTCTGTCTCTGTCTTCATCTCCATTTCTATCCTTCTCTATCAACATCTCCATCCTTATCTCGTCTTAGTTTCTAGCCCTGGCGCGCGCTCTCTCTCTCTCTCTCTCTCTCTCTCTCCATCTCCACCTCCCTATCTCTATAAAAATCTCCATCCTTACCTCTAATTTAGTTTCTAGCTCTGTTTTCTGTCTGTCTCCCTCACCCTCACCCTCTCCATCATCTCCAGCTCCAGCTCCAGCTCTGGCAACATCTCTCTCCTTATCTCTATCTTGGTATCTATCTGTTTCTATCCTCTTTCCTGTTTCTGTCTCTTTCTCCTTCTCTGTCTCTATCATGTCACATAGCTCCAAGGAGGAATGCAACAGGCTAAGGCTAAGTGAGCTGAAGATAATTACAGTGAATGAGAGCAATAGTTTATTTATTTTTTTTTTTTTGCATTAGCCTGGCCCAGCACATTAGTGATTATTTAAGAATGAAGAAATTGATGCTGTCATGTTCCAAGGCGGGATATCATCTGTGCTATTCTTCACTGTATTACAAGTGCCTTGAAAAGGAACTCACATGGGGTAGTTGCTTAATAATTGTTGAAAAATGTGTTATAGATTTAGCACATCAGGGCTTTATTCATTTCCAATGCTTTTCCCTTTCTGTGGTCACTTTAAATTCATTTATCATTTTCACCATATGTCATGACAAAGTGTTCTTTGCCAGAGACAGTGAAACTTAGTGCAGGAGTAACCAAAGAAACACGGAGAGGTAAAGTATCCTGGTTTTTATCAAAATTCACAAGTGACAACAAAGAATTCTGACTATCTGTGTGCACTCCTTTTTTACTAACACCTCTTTTCTTTGCAAATGCAAGATAACAGCTCTCAAAATCAAGTACAACCCATTTGCCAAAGCCTTCTTGGATGCCAAGGAAAGGTGAGTAGAGAAATTTCAATGACATCATCTAAATTGGCTCCTGAAAATTTAAAATGAATTAGACTAGTAATTCTTGCATTATCTTGATATAAATGTGTTTTCTTTTTTTGTTAAGATTTTATTGTTTACTTTAAAGTCAGAGTTATAGAGAGGCAGAGGCAGAGAGAGAGAAAGGAGCTTCTTCTGGGTCTCCCATGTGGGTGCAGGGCTCAAGGACTTGAGCCATCCTCTACTGCTTTCCCAGGCCATAGCAGAGAGCTGGATAGGAAGTGGGGCAGCCGGGACTCGAACTGGCGCCCATATGGGATGCCTTTACTGCAGGAGGCAGCTTTACCCGCTATGCCACAGCACTGGCCCCATAAATGTGTTTCAATATCCCTTAAGTAGCCAACAAAATCAAGAAATTTCAGCTTATAATAGGGTCTAGGAGAACCCCTAATTGCAAATGTATTTTCAGCCCATTTTACTGTAGATTCTTGAAAGTAGGGCAATCATGTTTTTCAAAAGTGATTTAGATTTTTAAAAAAGATTTATTTATTTACTTATTTGAAAGGCAGAGTTATATATAGAGAGGGAGACACACAGAAAGGTCTTCATCTACTGGTTCATTCCCCAAATGGTTCATAATGGTCGGGGCTGGGCCAAGTCAAAGCAAGGAACCTGAAATTCCATCTGGATTTCCTATGTGGGTGGTAGGGGCTCAAGCATTTGGGCCATCTTCCACTGCTTTCCCAGGTGCATTAGCAGGGAGCTGGATTGGAAGTGGAACAGCCGGGATTCAAAATGGCGCTCATATGTGATGCTGGCACCACAGGCAGTGGCTGTGTGCTCTGGCCTTCTCCCAGTCACCTCTGAGTAATATGGTTTGAATACGTTGTTCTTGTAGAGACTACATTTAGACTACAGAAGCTGAGATCTGGTGGGAGATTCATATTTTGCAGATGAGAGAAGTCAGACTTCTGGGCATATGAATGATGATGCTACCACTGTGGGCCAGTGAGATGACACCTCTGTATACTTCCTTGCAATTCAAGGACAAAATAAAAGATCAAAGTGCTTATGCTTGATTGTTCTATCTACAGGGTCTAAAACATAAATATGGGCACCTTTGAAGTGTTCAGACTTTTACTGATATTGAACCTTTCCAATCACACTGTCCAAACTTTTCTTTCATCTAAAGGCTCTGGATTAATGGAGAGAGATTTAAAATGATGTGTCAAGCAATCTGTCATTCAATGTTTGAGTAAATTTTGATGGTGTACTTATAACTTATCCGGATAACAAAAAGTCTAGTGTATGAGATGACAGAGTCTATAGTCAGAATATTAGTGGTGCAGCATCATACAAAGAACTTAGGACTTTGAGGAAGAGATTCTGACTCTGAGCCTTAGCTTTGCCATTTCCTGACTGTTTGATCTTGCAAGCATCAGTTTTCCTCCAAGGTATACTTTTCTTTCTTCCTTTTTTTTTTCCAATGAGGCTTCTTACTTCTTTGTATGCATTATATCCCTAGGAAAAGAATCCCAGGATTTTCCCTTCTCTGTGTTTTTGGCTTGTTCCTTCGTGGTCCATGATGCCAGCTGTTGTCAGGACAATGGAACCCTGCAGACAGGATGAGAGCAGATTATTCTTCCATTTTTTTCTAGATAGCTGGGTTGCAGGTCATATCTCAGAATGATCACTCCACACTTGTTTAAGCTGCCTGTGAGGTTCACAACAGTTTCTCCAGTTCAGTGATTTCAGATTTGCCCATGTAAGCATGCTTCACCCCACAGTTAGGAACTGGACAATGACTTAATAAGAACCCGGCATTTGCCCTTCTTTTTGGCCTTGTGGATGCTCTTGAGAGCCTTAGCTAGGATATTTATACACCATGGGAACAGAATGGTAGTGGGAAGAGTCAGACCAACTTTTCTTTTTATTTTTTTTAAAGATTTATCTATTTTATTTGAAAGGCCGAGTTACAGATAGAAAGGGAAAGGAGAGGAGAGGAGAGGAGAGGAGAGGAGAGGAGAGAGAGTGAAAGAGAGAGATCTTCTATCCACTGGTTCATTCTTCAGATGGCTGCAACGGCCTGGGTTGAGCCAAGCCAAAGCCAGGAGCCAGGAGCTTCATCCAGGACTCCTATGTGGGTAGCAGGGCCCTAAAAACTTGAGCCATCTGCTGCTGTGTTTTCCAGGGCATTAGCAGAGAGCTGGATCAGAAGTGGATCAGCCAGAACTTGAACCCGTGCCCATATGGGATACAGTATCGAAGACAGTAGCTTTATCTGCTATGCCTTTTTCTTTCTCCCTCCCTCCCTCCCTCCTTCCCTCTTTTCCTCCTCCCCTCCTTCCCTCTTTTCCTCCTCCCCTCCTCCCCTCCTCCCCTCCTCTCTTCCTCCCTTCCTCCCTTCCTCCCTTCCTTCCTTCCTTCCTTTTCTTCCTAAGACTTATTTATTTGAAAGAGAGAGAGAGAGAGAGAGATCTTTCATCCACTGGTTCACTCCCCAAATGGCCACAACAGCTGGGGCTGGGCCAGGAGCCAGAAACTTCTTTTGTCTCTCACATGGGTGGGTGCGGGGGCCTAAGCACCTGGGCCATCCTCGGCTGCTTTCCCAGGTGCATTAGCAGGGAGCTGGATCAGAAGCAGAGCAGCCAGTACTTGAGTGGGTGCCCATATGGGATGCCAGCACTGCAGGTGACAGCTTTACCTGCTATGCCACAGTGCCAGCCCCCAGACCAACTTTTCTAATCTACAAGTGAATATAGTCATATTTCTCTCACGTTGTCATCAGTAATCGTAATGACACCACATATGTAATTGTGTCCTGAGGTCCTTGAAACCTGCAGGCAGGATTATTGAAGGCCAAAGCTAATAGAAACAGCTGTGGATGTGGTAAGAGGGGGAACAGTTTAAGTGCACTCGCAGAGCAATTGTCCTTAGTAGAAACAGTGACTTAGGGGAAGGAGGGCCGCTCTGAGACAAAAGGTGTGTGGCTTTCTTATCTCGAGACATTTAGTGCTCTCCAAAGAGAATTTTGGGTGTGCTTACACTGGACTTGTGTAAAAGCTGGACAGCCATGGTGCCCTTTCGTTACTTTTCCAGAAATCACCTAAAAGATGTCCCGGAGGCGATCTCTGAGAGCCAACACGTGACGTACTCTCACTGTGAGTTGGGTGAAGGCTGGGTGGGAGGTGTGTGGGGCTCTGTGTGGTCATCTCCCTGCACACTCCAACTGCCTGTCTCGACAGCAACTGTGCAAGCTCTGTTCCAAATCCAGACCCAACGTGGTGTTTCTTCCACTCCAGACAAGTCAGTGCCCATTCCAGAAGGCCCAGAGAGCCGGCGTTCCTCAGCTTATGGGGCGTCAACAAATCTTAGGAGATGAGACTGGAACTGGTGAATTTCTTTTCTTTTCTTTTTTTAAGATTTATTTTTATTTATTTGAAAGACAGAGTTACAGAGGGAGGTAGAGACAGAGAGAGAGGTTTTGCATCTGCTGGTTCACTCCCCAGATGGCCGCAACGGCTGGAGCTGTGCTGATCTGAAGCCAGGAGCCAGGAGCTTCTTCCAGGTCTCCCACACGAGTGCAGGGGCCCAAGCACTTGGACCATCTCCCACTGCTTTCCCAGGCCATAGCAGAGAGCTGGATTGGAAGTGGAACAGGCAGCCATATGGGATGCCGACACTACAGGTGGTGGCTTTACCCATTACGCCACAGTGCCAGCTCCCTCTGTGCTGTCTTCTACCTTGATGCTCTCCACTATTTTTTCCTTAGTTCTGGATTTCTCTTTCTATTGGTATTTGCTGACTTGGGAGCTGGTCACTATTGCAATGCCACAGACAGACTGCGGCCTGGCCTATGAGGCCGAGTCTGCCTTTTGGAAGGCTGTAGGGAGAGATGGCCGATGCACCTGGGATTTCAAAGGTAGAGTTGAGTCTCTATGACCCAGAGTGCTAAGAGGTGGCCTCATGGCAGAGGTAAGGCCTGCAGCTGCAGCAGAAGCCCCAGGCAGAAAAGTCAGCCCTGGTGTCTGAGACACTCTTTAGGTTATAGGGACTTGCCAGGATCCTTTCTTCAGTTTTTGCAGCTTTGCTCCATCCTGCTCCTAAATCTGCCTGTATTTTCTACGCTGGAAGTGACACGTTGTCCACATAAAGAGAAGCGGCTCTCAGGAAAGCACTTTCCAAAAGTGACCTGGAAAAGCAAACCTTCCTGTGGGAGTTGGCTCATGTGTGGCAGTCAATGAACTTCTTGAGGTGTGTGTGTTACATGGGCCCAACTCAACGCTCCTGAGAGGCCACTGTCTGATTTTGCTCCCTGGACACTTGACTCTCAATTCTACTCGTCAGTGTAGGGGTGTTCAACTTTTTTTTTTTTTTCATTTGAACAGTTCAATAATTTCATTCTGAAATAAACTGACAATATTCAGCTAGCAGGAAAAAAAGCATACACATGTATAAGCAGGCAGAAATGTGAAAGCCATACGCAAAAAATGAGACTCAAAGAAAAAGCCAGATAGTTGAAGCTTAAATAGCATTTTGAGCTATAGAAACAAAGAGGGGGCTGGAGCTCCTGGGGTGGGAGGTAGTGACCACAGATTATGGAAGGAAGATGCACTAAGGAAAGATTATCTAATTATGTAAATGAAGTCTCACAGGTAATAGCCTTTTTTTTTTTTATTTTTGACAGGCAGAGTGGACAGTGAGAGAGAGAGAGACAGAGAGAAAGGTCGTCCTTTTTGCCGTTGGTTCACCCTCCAATGGCTGCCGCGGCTAGCACATCGTGCTGATCCGAGGGCAGGAGCCAGGTGCTTCTCCTGGTCTCCCATGGGGTGCAGGGCCCAAGCACTTGGGCCATCCTCTACTGCACTCCCTGGCCACAGCAGAGTGCTGGCCTGGAAGAGGGGCAACCGGGACAGAATCTGGTGCCCCAACCGGGACTAGAACCCGGTGTGCCGGTGCCCAAGGCGGAGGATTAGCCTATTGAGCCATAGCGCCGGCAGGTAATAGCCTTTAAAGGAATGTGACATGGGGGGTAGAGATCTCTACATGGTAGAGTAGAGAGATCTCTGGTACATTCCGATGAGGCAGATGCCTTGCACCTGCTGTTTACTTCTACACTTGCAAATCTCCCCCACTGAGGACAGCTGTCCAGACCAGTCCTGTGTCTGCAGCCCTTCTAAACAGCAATTTCAAAATGTGCTCAAGATGCCTAGCGGCGCCGGCACACCGGGTTCTAGTCCCGGTCGGGGCGCCGGATTCTGTCCCGGTTGCCCCTCTTCCAGGCCAGCCCTCTGCTGTGGCCCGGGAGTGCAGTGGAGGATGGCCCAGGTGCTTGGGCCCTGCACCCCATGGGAGACCAGGAAAAGCACCTGGCTCCTGGCTCCTGCCATCGGATCAGCGCGGTGCGCCGGCCGCAGCGCGCCGGCCGCGGCGGCCATTGGAGGGTGAACCAACGGCAAAGGAAGACCTTTCTCTCTCTCTCTCTCTCTCTCTCTCTCTCTCACTGTCCACTCTGTCTGTCAAAAAAAAAAAATGTGCTCAAGATGGCTGTTTTGGGGAAGCCCACTGTGATCTTCCTCATGTGGTGGTGACTCCTTTGGTCACGTGTTTATACAACAATGGAAAAAAAGGAGACAGCAAAACAAGTTGTTGGCAATGATGGAAGACATATTTAGTAATAAAAATTCTGTACAATTTGTTCTTAGAAAAGACTAAGCGACAGTGGATTCTAACACCAAGCTCCCATTGCCTCGTTCCTGAATTCCAGGTGACAGTCCTTGGCCAATTCTTACAAAAACTCCAGTCCTGCTGCATCCTCACCTGTGGACCTCTCGGCTATTTTATTTATTTGAGAGTGGAGTACTGGGGGGCAGGGGTTGGAGAGAGGAAAGAGAACTCCCATCTGTTGGTTCACTCCCCAAAGTCCGCAACAGCTGGGGCTTGGTCAGGTTGAAGCTGGGAGGCAGGAATCCAACTCAGGTCTCCCACATGGGTGAGAGGGACTCAACCACTTCAACCATCACCTGCTCCCTCCCAAAGTGTGCCTTAACAGAAAGCTGGAATCAGCAGGGACGATGGGATGAAACGCAGGCACTCCACTATGGAATGCAGGCATCCCAAACAGCGTTCCAACTGGCATCTTAACTGTTAGGCCTAACACCTGGCCCTCTACTAAGATTTTTAAAAAAAGATTTATTTATTTTACTTGAAAGTCAGAGTTACACGGAGAGAGGAGAGGCAGAGAGAGAGGTCTTTCATCCGCTGGTTCACTCCCCAGATGGCCGCAATGGCTGGAGTTGTGCCAATCCGAAGCCAGGAGCCTGGAGATTCTTCCGGGTCTTCCACATGGGTGCAGGGACCCAAGGACTTGGGTCATCTTCTAGTGCTTTCCCAGGCCATAGCACACAGCTGGATCGGAAGTGGAGCCGCCTGGTCTTGAATCAGTGCCCATATGGGATGCTGGCACCACAGGTGGCAGCTTCACCTGCTACGCCACAGCACCAGCCTCTCCACTAAGGTCTTCTCTGTGGGTCTGTATTACCAAGTCTCAGCCTTTGCCCAGGAACCCACTTGCAGCACAGTCTTCTGTTCAGGACATTCCTTAATTTCTATGAAATATTTTGCAACCTTAGAAAATATTTTCCCTCTCCCTCTCTTTCTCTGTGCTCTCAGGAGCCTACCTGTGGGGTGCTGATGGGAAGCATCATGGTTCCTCTTGCTGGGGGTGAAAAGTGAAGACACCTTCCCAGGAACAGAGGGCCCTTCCCAGTCGCTGCATCACCACATTGAACATTTCCTAGCAGCTCTAGCTCCGTGAGTTACATGTGTGTGAGGCTCCTTCAAAGTTCACGGAAAATTACAAGCCAAGTCTTTTATTTAAATTATTTATTTGAAAGACAGAGGAAAGTGAAAGAGAGGGAGAGGGAGAGAGAGGGTGAGAGAGAGAGAGAGAGAGAGAGAATGAATCTTGCATCCACTGGTTCATTCCCCAAATGCTCATAAAAAGTCTGGGCTAGTCTGAAGCCAGGAGACCGGAAGTCCATCCAAGTCTCCCATGTGGGTGGCAGGGGCCAAGAACTTGGGCCATCTTCTGCTGCTTTACCAGGTGTATTAACAAGGAGCCAGGACTCAAACTGGCACTCTGATATGGGATGTTGGCATCACAGGCAGTGGCTCAACTTATACCACAACATCAGCCTGCAAAGTTTATTTTGTTGGAAAAAATTTCTGAAACCTATGCCTACTTTTTAATTAGTATTCATTTTTCATGAAATTTTTAAGATTCATTTATTTATTTGAAAGAGTTACACAGAGAGAGAAGAAGAGGCAGAGAGAGAAAGAGAGAGAGAGAGAGAGAGAGAGAGGTCTTCTATCGGCTGGTTCGACTCCCCAGTTGGCTGCAATGCTGGAACTGCGCTGATTCGAAGCCAAGAGCCAGGAGCTTCTTCCGGGTCTCCCACATGGGTGCAGGGGCCCAAGCACTTGGACCATCTTCCACGGCTTTCCCAGGCCATAGCAGAGAGCTGGATCAGAAGTGGAGCAGATGGGACTTGAACTGGTGCTCATATGGGATGCTGGCACTTCAGGTGGCGGCTTTACCTGCTATGCCACAGTGCCAGTTCCGCATTTTCCATGAACTTTTGAAGACCCTTCATATGCATGACTTTCAAAATTGTTTTGCACCAAAACAAATGTACCCCAATCCCATTTTCCAAAAACTTTTTTTTATTTTTATTTTTTTATTTGACAGGTAGAGTTAGACAGTGAGAGAGAGAGAGAAAGGTCTTCCTTCCATTGGTTCACTTCCCTAATGACTGCTACGGCCAGCGCTGTGCTGATCCGAAGCTGGGAGCCAGGTGCTTCCTCCTGGTCTCCCATGAGGGTGCAGGGGCCCAAGCACTTGGGCCATCCTCCACTGCCTTCCCCAGGCCATAGCAGAGAGCTGGACTGGAAGAGGGGCAACAGGGACAGAACCCAGCGCCCCAACCAGGACTTGAACCCAGGGTGCCGGCGCTGCAGGTGGAGGATTAGCCAAGTGAGCCACTGCGTGCTGGCCCCCCAAATTTTTAAGTAGCCTCATGCATAATGCCTCCTAGACTGACTTTTATTTTAATGAGAGTCAGAAGCACCTTAACTTTTGCATTCCTGTGAACTTTCGCACTCAGATAGTTCTTTGCAGAGCCATGTTCCAGCGCTCCCCAGGAGAGTTTCCATATTTTGATAGAGGCTGTCGTCATCTCCCAAGCAGCAAGTTACCTGCTCTTGGGGAGGGGGCGTGGCGGCAGGAATGGTGGTATCCCTACAGGGGCGGCCTTCATTCACAACAAATTCAGCTATGCCAACTAGCTGGTGCCCTGGCTCTGGGTGGGGAGGTTCAGAGACTCAGTCTCTGTGTCTCCCTATTTTCTGTTCTAGTGGGAGGCTGGATCTTTTCCAACCCGGAGGGCATGTGCACAGCGGGAAACACCAGCTACCAGTATGCTGCTCCTCTGCCTCTGCCTGCTCCCCACACCCACCCCGGCTGTGAGCACTACCCTGGTCTCCGAGGACACCGGCAAGCTCCCTACCCTTCTGCCTACGTGCATAGAAACCACTCTCCCTCAGGTGTGTGCTTCTGCTAATTAAACCTTTGGGGCAAGGGCTTGGGGTAGGGGGAGCAGGGAGGGGAGAACCCACAGCCAAGAAGAAGTATCTGAAGATGGAGCCCCTTTCCTCTAATAGGTATGTGTACTATTATCGTGCATTGTGACTTCGCTTTATTATTTGAATGTTAATATTTGATGATCTGGTTAAATTGTATTGGTGTTTTGTAATCATTTCCTAAGAATAATTAAATTAAATCTCCTGGTTTCTAACAAATGGGAATGTCCTCTTCCCAAGGCAGTAGTGTGTTGAGCAGTTTTTTTTTTTTTTAAGATTTATCTATTTATTTGAAAGGCAGAGTTACAGAGAGGCAGAGGCAGAGAGAGAGAGAGAGAGAGAAATAGAGAGAGGTCTTCCATCCGCTGGTTCGACTCCCCAGATGGCCTCAACAGCCGGAGCTGGGCTGATATGAAGCCAGGAGCTTCTTCCAGGTCTCCCCCATGGGTGCAGGGGTCCAAGCACTTAGGCCATCTTCTACTGCTTTCCCAGGCCATAGCAGAGAGCTGGATCAGAAGTGGAGCAGCTGGGATTTGAACCGGTGCTCATATGGGATGCTGGTGCTGCAGGCGGTGGCTTATACTTGCTACGCCACAGTGCCAGCCCCTGCTGACCAGTTTTTTTTTTTCCCCCCACAGGTGGAGTGGACAGTGAGAGAGAGAGAGATAGAAAGGTCTTCCTTCCATTGGTTCACCCCCCCCCCCCCCCACAACGGCTGCCGCGGCCAGCACACCGCACTGATCCGAAGCCAGGAGCCAGGTATTTACCCTGGTCTCCCAGGCGGGTGCAGGGCCCAAGAACCTGGGCCATCCTCCACTGCCTTCCGGGGCCACAGCAGAGAGCTGGACTGGAAGAGGGGCAACCGGAACAGAATCCGGCACCTGGATCGGGACTAGAACCTGGTGTGCTGGCGCCGCAGGCGGAGGATTAGCCTAGTGAGCCTCGGACCAGTTTTAAACTAGCCTCTAAGAGTGCAGTCAGGTTGTGTGGGTCAGAAAGCTCAGCTCATTGCCTCCACCTGGTTTCTCTCTACAGGTGCATTCGTGGTGCAGCCCAGAGATTGCTGGGTTAAGTGTTGAAGGGCTATTAGGAAGGCCTCTGGGGAGCTGTATGTTCATGTTCATGCTTAGGTTGATTCAAGTGGAGGCTTGCAAAATGGGCTATTGTTTGTATGCCTTTAAAAATTTTTTAAAAAAGAAGCAGAGAGAGCACACTCCCATCTGCTGGTTCACTCTCTAAATGCCTACAGTGGCTGGGAATGGGCCAAAGCTGAAAGCCAGGAACTGAATCCAGGTTTCCCCATGTGGGTGGAAGGAACCTAACTTGAGCCATCACTGCTGCCTCTCAGTCTGCATTAGCAGGAAGTTGGAGTCAGGAGCCAAATCTGGGAGCAGAATCCTGTACTCTGATGCAGGGTGTAGGTGTCTGTCTTTTTTGTTTTTTTTTCCTTTCTGAACATTTATCTATTTATTTGAAAGGCAGAGATAGAGAGAGATATAGAGAGGATCTTTCATCTGCTGGTTCACTCTCCAAATGGCAGCAATGGCCAGGGCTGGGCCAGGCCAAATCAAGGAACCTGGAACTCTGTCTGGGTCTTCTATGTGGGTTGCAGGGGCACAAATACTTGGGCCACCTTCTACTGCTTTCCCAGGCACATTGGCAGTGAGCTAGATAGGAAGTGGAGTAGCTGCAACATGAACCGTAGCTCATATGAGATGTTGGTTTTGCAGGTGGTGACGTAACTCACTGTGTGAGAATGCCACCTCCTCACATTTTTAAAGACACCTTCCATTTTATTTGAAAGGCAGACAGACAGACGCACACACACCCAGGAGCCAGGGTTGGCTCAGACTGAAGTCAGGAGCCCAGAACCCCAGCTGGCTCTCCCATGTGGGTGGCAAGGACCCAAGGATATGAGCCCTCACTGCTGACTCCCAGGATGGAATTATCCGGAAGCTGGATTGTAAGAAGAGGAGCCAGGATTTGAACCAGGCACTTCCTTGTGGGGTGTGATCCTGGAACTATCGTCTTAACCACTGGGCTAACTGCCTTCTCCCGTGTATCTTTTTTTTTTTTTCATCGATGCTGCCCTGTTTGCCTTGGCCTTGTGTGTTCCCAGATCTTGCCTGATCATTTAATTTGTAGAAATAAGGGATAAATCAAAACAAAGGTTAGTTGTTCACTCAATTATTCTTGCAACCGTTTTTATTGAGGACTGACTGTACACCAGGCTTTGTTTTAGGCATGGGAACAAAGTGGACAAGTACCCTATTACTATGGAGATTCTTTTCTAATGTAGAAAGATGGACACTGAACAAAACAAAGAAGTGAAGCCCTTGGATAGGACATGGAGGAGCATGTGTAGGTTTCAGTTTCCCACCTTCCTTTGTGACATCCTGAGCTCTGCATTTGCAGATGGGTTTCCTGGTCACCAGCTCCCCGTCCCCCTGTCTCCCCCAGCCTGCTACTCTCAATGACCTCAACTGCTGTTACCAATAGCGGAAGACTATGTGGCTTAATGATGTCAGAAGCTGAGCGACACCTCGGTTACTTTCTGATCTTTTTCTGTGGTCACACACAAAACACATCTCCTGAGCACCTGCTGTGCACAAGGGGTTTTATAGGCAGTGGGGATAGGGAGGAGATTTAGACACAGCTTGTACCCTTGGAGGAGCACGGGGCTACACAAACACTCATACATAGGTAATCAAAGTACAATGTAGTGAGTTCTCTAATGTGGTACTTGGATCTGCAGTATCTCCTGGGAACTTGTTAGAAATAGACTCGCACGCTCTCCTCCTGACCCACAGTCTACACCTTAAAAAGATCCCCTGATGAGTCATTTGTGCATTATTTGAGAGGCAGCCTATAAAACACACAAGTCAAGGTGCCATGGGAATCTAGGAAAAAAACAAAAAGAACAGTTTGGTGAGGCAGTGAAGGCTGCCCAGAGGGGTTACAATTTAAATTGAGGGGCCAGTGTTGTGGTGCTGTGGGTTAAGCTGCCACTTTAGATATCAGCACCCTATATCAGAGTCCCAGCAGCTCTGCTTCTGAACCAGCTCCCTGCTAATGTGCCTGGGAAAGCAGCAGGGGATGGCCCTGCTACCTGGGCCCCTGTCACCCATGTGGGAGACCAGGATGGAGTTCCTAGCTCCTGCCTTTAGCCAGACCTGGCTATAGTAGGCATTTGGGGAGTGAATCAGCAGATGGAAGAGATCTCTGTCTCTCTGGCCTTCCTTCTCTCATTGTCACTTTGCCTTTCAAATGCATAAATAAATACATCTTTTAAAAAGTTTAAATTGAGCCTTGAAAAGAAAAGCACAGAGGTGGGCAGGGCTGACATGTGACTCAGGCAGGGGTGCAGGGCATTCCAGGTAGAGAGAATGAGATGAGCTGAGACCCAGGAGGGAGAAGGCACCTGGGCTGGCTGGGGAGCCTGTTTGCAGCAGTGTGTAGAGGGAGCGGGACCCATGGGAGACACCAGGGCTGAGGCTGAAGAAGCTGCACATGCCAGGTCACGTGCAGGTGCAACACGGCTGGGTGTCTCTCTCCGTTTTGTGCTGCTATAACACAGGACCTCAGACTGGGTAATTTATAAAGAACAGGAATTTATTTTCTCCCTGTTCTGGAAGTTGGCAAGTCTAAGATCAAGGTGTCAGTCTCTGGTGAGGGCCACCGAGCAGCACCAAAGTGGTGGAAGGCATCTCATAGGTGAGAGACAGGGAAGGCGGCTGAACTCGCCGTTTTATGAGGAGTCCACTTCAGGATAATGAACCCACTGTCATGATGAATCCATCCATGAGAGCAGAGCCTCACCTCTCAGCGCTGCTGCACTGGGATTAAGTCTCCAACCCATGAACTTTGAGGGACCCACTCAAACCACAGACCAAGGGTGGACTTTGGAACCTTCCCTTCCTTCCTCCCTTCCTCGTCTTCTTCCTCTCTCTTATTTTGATACTATTTATGCAAGCAGAGATTCAGAGAAATATAAGATACTATTTCTCCCCATAAAACTGTATACATTTAAGGTGTACAACTTGATGTGTGTGTATGGAAGTAACAGTTAAGCAGACGAACATATGCATCTCCTCACGTAGCTACCTCTTTTTCGTTGTGGTGAGAGCACCTAAAGTCTGTTCTTACAACACATTTCCATATTTGTATTGTAATACAGCCACTATTAGCCAGAGTGCTCATGCTGTTCACCAGATCTGTAGGCATTTCATCCTATAGATGTGCAGCTTTGCATCCTTTGTATCTCATTTCCCCCACCCCCCACCCCTGGAGACCAGTGTTCTACGCTATGCTTCTATGACTTTGACTTTCTAAGAGTCCACTGTCAGTACGTGAGACCAGGCAGTGTTTTGTTTCAGGGAGAAAACACTGCTCTTTAGACGCTGACATCTACTTGGGCACTGTTGAGAAGACCTCAGAAATCTCACCTGGGCACTGGTGGCCCTTAGATATGGCTTGAGGGGATGACTCTATGGCCTATCCAAAAAGGGGAATTAATGTGAAATGTGTTACAAAGGGCAAGTCCCACCTCTCTGAGCCTCGTGTATGAAATGGAGATGGGAAATTGCTGCTGTGAAGAATTGGGTATGAGCAGCACGTGGCATATGGTTGATATTTAATAAACTTCAGTGCCTTCAGCTTTTTTGCTTCTGTCAGAAAGTGCTAACAGACTTGATCCCTGCAGCCAAGCCATGGTTACTATTTTACCCTGGGAGGATGTCATCGCTCATCTTCTTTCATGTTCTGTGTGTTCCAGTGATTGAACTGTTTTTATTTCCCCAAAGTGAATTTGATAGAAAGCTCAAGTAATAATCTGCAAGTTTTCTCGGGACCTGACAGCTGGACTTCTTTATCCTCCACGCCCCATGCCAGCATCCTCTCTGTACCCCACACCAATGGACCAATCAACCCAGGGCCTAGGTAAGAGCAACACCAGCAACCTGATCAGTACCGGTCTTGGGGGTCTTAGCAATGGTTACTAAGGTCCGTCCTTTCTCCATTCTTTGGTCTAAGTATTGTCCTGTCTGCTGAGCCCTTAGGAAATGAAGGTGGCATTAAGATGGACTTGCTGTACCTGGAGGAAGCGTGGTAGGAAAGCTCTCGATCGGTCATGCTGCCTTTTTCAGCATTTTAAAGGAAAAAGACACTGGGATCCTTTGTCTCGAACTAGTCAGGAAGACTTTAGGCTGTGCTGGTAGCAAATAAGTATAGACTAGAGGGGGAACTGATGGGGAAAACAGTAAATACACACTGAGAATAGCAAGACCTCTGTTAAAATAGCAAGACCAGGTTAAAAGGGGGACAGGCAGTGGGTGCCTGGCTCACGACCCTGGTACATGGCTAAGAGTAGCATGTTGGGTCTCCCCTGCTGTAAATATAACACCAGAGACCACTTAGTCTGACTTCTGGAAATCAGGGTGGTAGAGTGGAGCGAGAAGGCCCCGTAGCATTTGACAGATGTGGGTCTGAGTCTCAGTTCTACCCCTCATTGACTTTTTGACTTTGGACAATTTTCTTCACTTTATTGAGCATTAGCTTTCTTATTTGTCATGGAGACATAGATCTGTGTAGATTATAGATGGCTGAGGAGCAAAATAAGAAAATACATTCACATGCTTTCTAAGCAAGTAACAGCGTCTGTAAAGGTCAGCTTTTGCATTCAGTATGGATATACACAATTTTGAGATGGTCCATAGGGATTCAAAACCAGAAGATGGGACTCAGAGAGATGTCAGATGACTTGTGATTTGTAGGTCCAGAGACAGTTGTCTAGAGCAGTACATAACACACTTTTTTTAAAAAAAGATTTATTTATTTATTTGAAACTTGAGTTACACAGAAAGATAAGGAGAGGCAGAGGGAGAGAGAGGTCTTCCATCTGCTGGTTCACTCCCCAAATGGCCTCAATGGCTGGAGCTGCACCAATTCGAAGCCAGGAGCCAGGAGCTTCCTCTGGGTCTCCCATGTGGGTGCAGGGGCCCAAGGACTTCCTCTGCCTTCCCAGGTCACAGCAGAGAGCTGGATTGGAAGTGGAGCAGCCAGGACTCCGGTGCCCACATGGGATGCTGGCACTGCAGGCGGTGGCTTCACCCGCCGTGCCACAGTGCCAGCCCCCCAGCACACCTTTATGTGCATCAGAATCACCCAGGGATGTTGTAAAATGCAGGATCTGATGAGTAGGTCTGGGCTGGGGCCTGAGCTTCTGCATTTCTCATAAGTTCTCAGCTGTGGCTGTGGTTCACTAGTGTCTAGAGCTGTACTGTCCCATGCAACAGCTGCCAGCTGCTACTCACAGCAAATCCCAATCTGTGGTATAGTGGCTATGGAACACTTGAAATGCAGCTGGTTCAGACTGAGAGGTGTTATAAGTATAATATACACCCAGGGTTTTAAAGATTTAGTACAAAACAAAAGATAAAAATCTCAGTGCTATTTTTTTACATCAAATGCATGTTGAAATGCTATTTGGAATATTTTCACTTACATGAAATATTAACAATAAGTTTATTTTTTTTCTAAATGTGGATACTAGAAAATTGAAACTTACATTTGTGGCTTGCATTTTGTTTCTTTTGGGCAGTGGATCTGGAGGGTCCGTGAAGAAAATATTGATTTGGGCAATGATAAGAAGTGAGAAAGAGAACAAAGAGGAGCTGAAGTTATCAAGGAGTCATATGCTAAGTTTTGCACTAGATAATTTATATAAGTCATCCGCAGGACTTGAGACAGGTGCTAAGCCGGTTTTACAATTCCTGTCTTACTGCTGAAGAAGTGGAAGTGTAGAGGACAAGGGACTTCTGGTTCCACAGTCAAAGCCCTTGGTTTTCCCACCAGCCCAAGGAGGCATCAGAAAGTGTCACCAAGGGATGTCAGAGCCTCTTCCGGAGGTCCAGTCAGAACCCCAGAGGGCTGAGCTGGCTGAGAGCTGAGGGTGGGCTTCTGCAGGTCTATATGGTCCAAGGAGGTTTACAGTAATTGACAGATGGCCCAGCTGGAGGTTGGCACCTCTACCTCTGGTTTCCTTGTTGTTGTGTTTAACTCATCCCTGCCTCCATAGCGATTTTGTCAGAGAAAAAAAACCAAATGTATTCATTACCACCACTGGCTAACCAACCAATTATCAAGCCATGCAAGCTCAGTCAATGCAGAAACTCTGAAATGTCAGGATATATTGCTGACTAAAGGCTCCAAAGATTGGCAGCTGTTCTACCTGTTCCAACTGCAATCATACACATCTGAGCGCTATACTAATATAAAAATTTTGTTGCATGTTATAACCAGCTAGGAAGCTTTAGAAAGCCCCGACACTCAGGCTGCCTGCCAGCAGGCAGGAATCTTTTAGGGTCGGCCCAGGAATCAGCTTTTTTTTTTTTTTTTTTTTTGGTAATACTTGTTTTGTGATTCCAATGTGTAACCAAGTTTGTGAATCAGTGCTGGACTCTTAGAAGTAAAGAAGGCAAAGAAAGTGGTCCAGTTCCCCAAGGCTTTTTGCCAGAGCTGAAAGGTGGAAGCCGGGAATGGATGGACTGATCCCAACAACCACCATGTACTGAATGCCATGCTCTCTTCTTTTTTTTGACAGGCAGAGTGGACAATGAGAGAGAGAGACAGAGAGAAAGGGCTTCCTTTTTGCTGTTGGTTCACCCTCCAATGGCCACTGCGGCCAGTGCACTGCGCTGATCCGATGGCAGGAGCCAGGTGCTTATCCTGGTCTCCCATGGGGTGCAGGGCCCAAGCACTTGGGCCATCCTTGGCTCAAAATGCTAATCCTCTGCCCGCAGCACTGGCACACCAGGTTCTAGTCCCAGTCGGGGTGCCGGATTCTGTCCTGGTTGCCCCTCTTCCAGGCTGGATACTCTTCTTTTTATGTAATCCTCATAACAGTCACTGTGAGGTTTGTGAAATTATCATTTTAAAACTGAGGATGATAAAGGAAGGAGAAAGATGAAGATGAGGAAACCGAGGGTCAGAGATAGTAAACAGCTTGGCCAAGGTCACAAAGCTAGTATGTGGGGGAGCTGGGATCCATCCCCGGCCTCCTGACAACAGTATGTCCTGGTTATCGTGCCGCGTTGCCTCTCTTGGCCCAGGATAGTTCACACTCACAGGCCTCACACTTCCTGTGGCTTCTTCTCACTCCCTGCCAGTTTTCTGTGGACTGCAAGGGAGGCCGTGTGCTCAGAATCAAACCAACACCTGATGCAGATCTCAGGACGACTCACCTGATCCTCGTCCGCCCACACCTTGCTGCTTCTCTGGGTCTCTCTGCAGAAGCAGGGTCAGCCCGTGTCACAGCTAGAAACATAGCCACTGCCAGGAGCCCTCTTCCAATCGGTGCTGGTCTCAGCACTGGGTACTTGCTTCTTATGTATGGTAATAGCAAAACTGAGCCCAGTAAAATTAAAGTTTACTTGAGCAAGAAAAAGTTTGCAGAACAAGGCACCATCCTGGACCAAAGATGGTTCACAATACCAACCTCTCCCTCCCGCCTCCCAACCCCTGCGACTGTAGTGAGCTTTTTTAAATTATTTATTATTATTATTTTTTGACAGGCAGAGTGGACAGTGAGAGAGAGAGACAGAGAGAAAGGTCTTCCTTTGCCGTTGGTTCACCCTCCAATGGCCGCCGCGGCCGGCGCGCTGCGGCCGGCGCACCGCGCTGATCCGATGGCAGGAGCCAGGTACTTATCCTGGTCTCCCATGGGGTGCAGGGCCCAAGCGCTTGGGCCATCCTCCACTGCACTCCCAGGCAACAGCAGAGAGCTGGCCTGGAAGAGGGGCAACCGGGACAGAATCCGGCGCCCCAACCGGGACTAGAACCCAGTGTGCTGGCGCCGCAAGGCGGAGGATTAGCCTATTGAGCCGCGGCGCCGGTGGTAGTGAGCTATTTTTATATCAGGAAATGACCATACAAGGATGACCTGATTGGTCCTGTTCAGCCAATCGCCTTCTTTGGTTATAATTTGACAGTCTTCAGCCTGTCTGAGGGCTCATCTGCTCTGATTGGCTGAGGCTCAGTAGCTTGGTTACCAGGGTGAACTCTTGGGCTGGGGTCTAATCTGTTTGCCCTGGCTGCTAGGCTGTAGTTCAATACGTACAGAAGCCACTTTGGGCCACATTTCATCACCCAGGTAAGAGAACTGACTTTGAAAGACTCCTCCGTGTTTCATCCCCTCTCCCCTTTCTCTCTGTGTCTCTGCAGCCCCTATCCGTGCCTGTGGACCATCAGCAATGGCGGTGGGGGCCCCGCTGGGGCGGGCCCAGAGGTGCATGCCGGCGCTCCGGGGGCATTTCTTCTCAGTAACACAGCCATGACTTCACCTCCCTCGGTGCTCCCCGCGCAAGCACCCACTTCAGCCGGCGTGGAGGTTCTGGGGGAGCCCTCGCTGACCAGCATCGCAGTGTCCACCTGGACAGCCGTGGCCTCGCATCCCTTCCCGGGCTGGGGTGGCCCAGGTGGGGGTGGGCGCCATTCTCCCTCCTCATTGGACAGTTAGAGAGGATGCCAGAGCCTTCTGTGTGTGTAGAGTGCTTAGGAACCCACCTGCTGATTGCAGTGAGTCAGCCAGCGGGGAGGCTGGAGGGCTGGGTGGGTTTTACCAATGCCCTCCTGGGAGATGCTTTAGTTTGGGTGATGCCAGTGACTCAGTTGCATCTCTCTCAATTTTCTTTAGCGTCCCCATTTTCTCTGCAGCTTATCCTTGCCGGGCTCGGGCTACAGAACTTCACTGAGTACCTCCCTTGTGTTCTGGAAAGCCTCGCTTCCTTCTCTGTGGAGGGGCTGCAAAGCTGTCAAGTGAGCTCACACAGCTCACTTTGCTAAGGCCGCTGCTTCCTAGCTTTGTGCAGCCTAGAAAGGGGGTATGGCCGCAGGGCCCAGGCTGGCTTTGGCTCTGAGACCACGGGAGGGTGTGAGTGCCCAGAGTAGAGGAAATACAAATGATCAAGCGAATCCTGCACTCTCCCGGCAGTGGGCCTGGCACTGGGGAGATGAGGTCACGCCATTTCTTTGTTCAGAAACCTTCAAAGGCTCACTATTGCCCATGGAAAAGTGACGTCAGATCTCCTTACTCTGGGGAGATCCTTCACTTGTGCCCCCAAGCCACTCCTCTGGCTTCAGCGCCTCTGTTAGCAAGGCAGGCAGTGCTCTGCCCCCTGAAGGTTCGCTACCCTGGCCCTCCTCCGCATGTCTCCTTGCGCCTCAAGTGCATTTCTCTCTGTTCCACCTGTGCAAAGCCAGCCCACCTCCCAGGGGCCAGCTGAGATGCCACACCACTGCACTAAACGCTTGCTGACTCTGAGGCACATATTTTATTCTCCCCTGCTCCCTGCTTTCCCACTGTTTTGGCCTCTGTCATAAAGCTCACCCCCTTCTGCTTTGTGTTTCTGCTACCTGTGAGCATGTCCCTCTCTCCCCCACTAGACTGTCAGCCTCTGGGGGGTGAGGCCTGTCATTCTTGTCTTTGCACCCTCACAACACGTGATACCGTGCCTTGCCTCTTGTAGGTGCCCAATAAACATTTGCTAAATTGAATTGGTGTGAAGTGCATGTGTGCTTTTGGGGCAGTGTGGAGCTGGCTGGGAGGCAGAGCTCAGCGGCGCATGTCCCGTGACGTGACAGCAAGACATGGGAGCTGAAGAACATGCAGCTGTTATGCCAGCTCCTCGTAGGAGGCGCAACCAATTCTCTGTGATTGATGATGGTATATGGAGAGGGTGAGCCAGAGTGGTAATTCCTAAATGCTGGTCCTTGGATCCCCCTGTGCTGGGACTGTCTGGAAAAACAGAGAGAAACACAAGTTCCCAGGCACACTTTATACCCTTTGCACACCTCACAGCCATTGTGTCAGAATCTTTGGGGCTGCAATCTGGAATTTCCATTTTAAAGGGTTCCAGGCAGTATTCACAGAGCTAGGTTTGTAAGGCACTGCCTAGAACAGAGAAAAAGAATGGTAACTACTCCAGGATCCTTATTTCAGAGGAATTTCTACCTCTGCCCCAGTCAAGGCGATTTCTATGAGCAATGAGCAAAATCACAGTTTCATTAGTCTTCCTTTTCCTTTTCTACCCACTTGTGTTACTGAACATGGGGGTTTCAAGGTGGAGTGGTGAGCTGTCCTCCAAGTGTGGACATTAGGCTGCGCTGACTGAGCAGCCCTTCTAGGAGCTATCACTGAGCTAGTCTGTGTCCCCCACGAGTCTGCAAGTAGCTCAGCTGCTCCCAGCACTCTTCCGCAGCTGAGCCTGGACAAACCCACCCCTCTCCAAGACTTCATCCAACCACGCACTGCTGAGTCCTTGGCTCTTTCGACGGTGGAGAGTCCTTTAGCAAGCCGTGGTTAGGTACTGTTCCATATTTCCGATTCAGAGCTCTGGAAAAATGCCATTCCATCTATATCGTGTCCTGGGAAGCCACCTTACCCTGCCAGTGGTTGCCTGGTCTGAGTGCTGTGTGGCTGATTAGTGTGTGAGTGATCAAGACACATGTACTCATATAACTGTTCTCTGAAAAGCTGCCTGATCAGCACGCCCACAAGGCATTCCCTAATCCCTCTATGGCAGCATTAGAAGCCATGAAGATATTAATATCGTAGCATCTCTGCAAGATGGTATCTTGGTAAGTTTTAAAAAGTGTCCATTTCGCATTCTGTTACAACTTTGAGCTAATGTGGCCTCCAGTCGCCTTGGCAGAGGCACCTTCATCTCTCACTGCAGCAGTTCCTCATATACCCGGTGCTTAGCAAGTGCACGTAGCTCTGTGAAAACCCATGTTTAGCCTCGCCCTGCCCCCCCCGCCCCCCTCCAACCTGGAGAAGAGAGAAGACGTGGCCCAGAGACACAGAACAGAAAGAAGGCAACAGCCTTCATTCCTTTTTCTCTTAGGTTGCTGAGGTGACTTCGGTCCTCTGCAGAGCACTAAGTGAGTTTTGACTGAGTTTGGCGTGATTGTGTCTCATCAGTCTATAAGATGCTCACTTGGGATTTGTGATGATTTTTTAAAAGATTTATTTTATTTTATTTGAAATGCAGAGTCACAAAGAGAGAGGGAGATACAGAAAGATCTTTCATCCGCTGGTTGACTTTCCAAATTGCCACAGTGGCCAGGGCTGGGCCAGGCTGAAGCCAGGAGCCAGGAGCTTCTTCTGGGTCTCCTATGTGGGTGAAAGTGTCCAAGCAGTTGGGCCTTCCTCTGTTGCCTTCCCAGGCCACCAGTGGGGAGCTGGATCAGAAGTGGAGCAGCCAGGACTTGGATTGGTGCCCATATGGGGTGCCAGCATTTGCAAGTGGTGGCTTAACCCACTATACCACCATGCCAGCCCCAGTGATGATTCTTAAGCATACAACTTTATTTAACAGAAGTTCAAATATCACAGTCATGAAGAACATGAATTCTGTTAAGGAACTATGGGTCAGCCCACATTGGTAACTGGGATTCAATGATGCTTCTTTCAACTCCCTCCCTCCCTCCCTTCTCTCTACTAATTCCCATCTCACTGAGCCTCTTGTTGACTCTTGGCCAAACTGGTAAAAAGATGGGATGGAGATCTTGGAACAGAGATTATGGTAGGGCTCTGTGGTGCCATAAAAAAGACATAGGGAATAGCACCTGTGGTCTGAAGATAATAGAACTTTCCCATCACCATCATCTTTGTAGAGATACTGTCCATCTAGCATAGCAAACTTCTTCTGAGAATAGGATGTCCCAAGCCCCAAATTCTCTTAGGAGAACAGCCTCCTCTTTTGCGTATCTATATGTCTGGTTTGGGAACCATAAAGCTTGTGCTTCATCCTGCTACTCTCAGTATAGTTGGCTTATTTAAGGGTTCTTGTCACTTGTCCCAAAGAGTCCCATCTACTACAGGAAGAGAAAATGCTCAGGCAAACACATTCAGCTCATGAATTCCAAGTTTCACTATGATACAGGTAGTATTAGCCCAGCTCCCACCTCCTCCCACCCCCACTGCCCATATGTACTAAAAATGCCTCAAAAATGGAGGACATGGAGCTGAAACTCGAGACTTTTTATATATAAAAATAGTTTAAAATAGTTTTAACTTTTAATTATTTGAGAGGCAGAGAAAGGGAGAGAGAAATTAGCAGAGATTGTCCATCTGCTGATTGACTCCCGCAGTGCCCACAATGGCCAGGACTGAGCCAGGCCAAAGCCAGGAGCCAGGGACTTAATCCAGTTCTCCCAGTGAGTGGCAGGGACCCAAGTACTTGAGCAATTACCTGTTTCCTCTACTGCCCCTACCCCAACCCTCCACAGGGTGTATATTAGTAGGGAGCTGGAATCAGGAGGAGAGCCAGGACTTAAATCCAGGTACTCAGATATGGGATGTGGGCATCTCAATGGCCTCTTAATCACTACCCCCAGTCTCAACTACTATGCTGAAATCTTGCTCTTGGGTTTCTCTTGTGAGGTTTTGTGTCTGCTCTCTTGGTGCCTGGTGGAGGGAGCATCACTTCCATTTTGTAGACCCTCCCTCTCTCCATGCCCTGACATGATAATCAGGCCAGAATATGGCACTGCACATTCACCTGTAAATTCGCTGTAAGTTCTGATCCCTGAAGCATGTTCCCTCACGAGGACTGTGGCAAACACTTGCTGTAGTGTGTTCAGCTCACAGAGGAGGTAACATTGTTCTAACCTTGCCCAGGAAGGGAGAAGGTCATAGCACTTGTGATAGGGTTGGAAAGCCTTTGACAATGAATGCCCCGGTCTCTGTCTCCTGGCTCCTGACCAACTCTCTCTCTTTCTCTTTCTTGCTCTCCATTTGTGTCAAGAAAACATCTTTGCTTTTGTAAATGCTATCTGTGAAGAATATCTAGTCAGTTTATTATTATCTATCACACCGCAGATGATACAACTCTTCCTATTATTTCACTAGAAATGAAGGGAGCTGCTGAGAGGGATACTGGACAGATAAGTTGTGCTGAAGTAAGGAAAGAATCAACGATTGCATAAAACTTTACTGGGGTTTGGCAGCCAACAGACAAGAAGACAGCCTAGGATGAATGTGCAGGGCAGAGGAAGGAGAACTATCAGCAGGTGTGGACAGCATTTTACAGCAATCACTGTTCCCACCTGTCCGCAGCTGGTGGTGGTGGCAGAGAAGAGCAGGGACAAAAGCAAACGAGCAGCAGTCAGCACCTGCTGTTTAAATCCCTGTGTGAGGACCGGCTAGGTATCTGGAAATGGATGGGGCCATAGAGTTGCTATTTTGTTGCTCCGTCTCAGTAGGGCTTTGCCATTAACAGGTAGTGTTTGCACGTGTGAGCTGCAATGTCTGCTCTTGTTTGAGCTTGTCTTACAGAGTTTGGACGCACCCAGCCAGTCCCCACAGTTGCTAAGTTTACTGCTATGAGGGTGCTTCATAAGGTTCATGGAAGGGATGGACGTGTGGCCAGTATTTAAAATGCCACTCGGCATGCCTATATCCCATTTCAGAGTGCTTGGGTTCTAGTTCTGACTCTGCTCTGCTTCCAGCTTCCTGCTACCATGCACCCTGGGTGACAGACAGGTGATGGCTTAAGTAGTTGAGCTTATGAGGTTCATGTGGGAGAACTGGGATTGAGTTCTCAGATCCTGGCTGCAGCCTGGCCCAGCCCCAGATATTATGAACATTTGAGTAGTGAATGGCTGGATGGGAGATCTCTCTCTTTCTCTCTTCCCTTTCCCTTTCTATCTCTGCCTTTCAAGTAACTTAAAAGAAAATTTCATGGAAAATGTTTATTATGAAGAAATGATTCTTGGCTTTCCGTTTTTTGAATCAGAGTAAACTTTAAAAAAAAAAAAAAAGGCTTATTTTGGCCGGCGCCGCGGCTCAATAGGCTAATCCTCTGCCTTGCGGCGCTGGCACACCGGGTTCTAGTCCCGGTTGGGGCGCCAGATTCTTTCCCGGTTGCCCCTCTTCCAGGCCAGCTCTCTGCTGTGGCCAGGGAGTGCAGTGGAGGATGGCCCAGGTGCTTGGGCCCTGCACCCCGTGGGAGACCAGGAGAAGCACCTGGCTCCTGCCTTCGGATCAGTGCGGTGCCATGGCGGCCTTTGGAGGGTGAACCAATGGCAAAAGGAAGACCTTTCTCTCTGTCTCTCTCTCACTATCCACTCTGCCTGTCAAAAAAAAAAAAGTTTATTTTATTTATTTGAAAAACAGAATTAAAGAGATAGAGACAGAGAGAGAGAGGTCTTTCATCTGCTGGTTCACTCCCTAAATGGCCACAGTGGCTGGAGCTGAGCCAGGAGCCAAGGAGCAAGGAGCTTCTTCTGGATCTCCCACATGGGTGCAGGGGCCCAAGCACTTAGGCCATCCTCCGCTGCTTTCCCAGGCACATTAGTAGGGAGCTGGATTGGAAGTGGAGCAGCCGGGAGTTGAATTGGTGCCCATATGGGATGCTGGCACTGTAGGCTGTGACTTTAAGCCGCTGTTCCACAGTGCTGGCCCCCCCAAAATAAACCATTCCATTTCCCCACAAACTTTTTGAGGTTCACTTGTATAAAAAG